TTAAAAAAAAATGTTTTTGCAAGTCTCTTATCCTCACCAAGACTGTTTATTTGAGAAAAAAAAAGAGTAAAATCTGTAATATGTGAAATGCTATTACAACTAAAAACTCTTTTCTATTTTAACATTTTAAAATGTAATTTATTTCCTGTGATGGCAAAGCTGAACTTTCAACAGCCATTACTCCAGTCTTCAGTGTCACATGATCCTTCAGAAATCATTATGCTTATTTTGGTGCTCAAGAAACATTTCTTATTAGCAATGTTGAAAAAAAGTTGTGCTGTTTAATATTTTTGTGGAAACTGATACTTTGCAGGATTCTTTGATTAATCATTCATACAATTAAATGTCTTTGCTGAAAAAAGTATTAATTTATTTTTAACAGTACTATATTTCAGTAACTATATTTTGCTTTTCTGGAATATTTGAATATACATTTATATACAGTATTCTTATATTAAACAAAGGGGAAAAAATGTAAATCCAAAAAGTCAATAAAACAAAAACAACAAAACAAGCTTCCACTCTACCATTTGTTTACCATTGTTTGGACACAGCAATGTTTTAAAAGAGTTATACCCTTCAAGAAGTTTAGCACATTCCTAGGATAGAAGAATTCACTCTGCTGAATCTATAAACAGTGTTGATGATGAAAAAATCAATCTACAATGTAGAGACGTGTTTCTCTTTGGTCGAGTGAGCACAGCTTTCCTGTTGAGAGATGAGGATACATGCAGACAGAGCGGGCTGCTCGCACAAGCAGCGCTGCCACTGCAGTCTCAGAGCACTGAGGAAGAGGAACAGATTCACAGTATCTACCTTGTGTTTTGTCATTTGCAAGTGCGAAAACTGATTGCTGATTGGCTTAAAAAACAAGTTCCCTCCTGTTTTTTTTTTTTACCTTTCATTTTGATGTTACATACACATTCACTTTTTTTCTATTTTTCCTCTATGCCTTTGACCCTATTATTACTGTGTGCATGCCAGATCCCTCCTGGAGTAGAGAGAGACATTCTACCACACATGAAACATGACAGCCCGTGACGGGAGTTGTTGTCAAAGCTCATAATTCAGTTGAGTGATCATAACCAGAAATGGGTGTCACAGTGTGTTCTTGAGCACATGAGAGGGTGTTCGGCAGTCTATTTCAGATCTGAGTCTCCAGAGAACTGTCTCTGTCAACATCCCAAACAACCCAACCCCTTTGACAGTCCATGAGGCATATACTTGTCCATAGAATAATAACTCATACAATTCACCATTGCTTATGTCTGCTTATAGGCCAGATTTAATTTTCATTAAAGGGGTCGGTACATTTGAGTTTATCGGATATAAAGTTTACTAAGCAACCCCCGAAAAGGAATAAAGTCTGTATATATTTGTTTACTGTTAGTTGTAACAAGTGTTTTTGTGTAATTCGCTGTGTATGTTGTATGTACAAGAGAGAGAGAGAGAGAGAGAGAGAGAGAGAGAGAGAGAGAGAGAGAGAGAGAGAGAGAGAGAGAGAGAGAGAGAGAGAGAGAGAGAGAGAGAGAGAGTTAATGGATAAGACTTTAATGCGCACTTCTTGTACTGTGTTTTATTCAGCTCTAACAGTGATTTTCTGGAGTGAAAACAGACACTTCATCTTGTGTGATGTACAATAAACTTCATAAAACTCATCAATAAAGTTGTTGGCATCATTCAGACGGGGTCCGCTACAACAGGCTTGTAGTGGATAATAGCAAGGTGACAACATAAGTTATAACCATAATTAAACTAAACTATACCTTATCTATCTCCATGCAGCATATATTCTCTGGCTCTGTAGGCATTATAGTCCGACTCCGGTTTGAATTGAGCACCGCTGACATTTCAGTGCATAAGATTATCCTGTTTGTTTGTTGCATGATCTCTTGAAGTCCCACCCTCTTCTTGAAAGGGGGCGTGAGCAGCAGCTCATTTGCATTTAAAGGCGTCCTCAAAAAGTGGCAATTTTAACATGCTATAAAAAATGATATCTGGGGTATTTTGAGCTAAAACTTCACATACACACTCTGGGGACATCAGAGACTTATTTTACATCTTGTAAAAAGGGGCATAGTGCCATTTAACAGTGATTGGCTCATACAAGGAATTACAATAGTCCAGATTTACAGAAATAAAAGCACTAACAATCTTCTCCAAGTTACTAGATGACAGAAACGGTTTTACCTTTGCTATTGATCTCAGATTAAAGAAACAGGATTTAACCACAGAGTTGATCTGTTTATCAAATTTCAGAGAGTCATCAAACTGCACCCCAAGATTCTTAACCACCGATTTGCAGAATGGAGATACATTTCCCATATTAGAAAGATTTTGGGAATCAGAGCTCCCAAACCAAATTATTTCAGTTTTGCTTTCATTTAAATTAAACAAATTCCATAATTTAACAAAAAGTTTAGTAATGACTCAATTGACCTCCTGTCCTGTTTTCATAGATGTAGGTACACCTGAGTGTCGTCAGGTAAAATGGGTAAATTATCAATGCCTTTGAAAAATAGAACTTTGAAAAATAGAACCTAAAGGTAACCTAAGTAACATATAAAGTGAAAACAGAATTAGACCAAGAATAGAACAATGCGGAACACCACAAATCAATGAAGCAGATATGGAGTAAAGTTGACCAATATTAACTGAGAAGGTTCTATTAAAGAGAAAAGATTTAAAACATTCAAGAGCCATACCCCGAATACCCACAGTCTTTTCTAGCACAACAATGGAACAAAATCATTGAAAACAAGAGCCAGAACAAAATAATACTTATCGACTTTTTTATCTGGGAAATCAGATACTAGTTACACTTCCATGGATATGGAAAAGACCTACAGCACGCAGAAATTTTAAAATATGCTTAAAAAAATATTGTTATACACTTTCATGTTAGCTAACTCTCAACCCTTCTCTGTTTATTTCCATCTTGTTAATTTTCTTTCAAATCAATTTATTCATGATACTAGGCCTACAGTTTAAGTGCGTGCTTCACAAGGGCATGTTTCTGAAACTCTTATATACATTTAGCTATTATTATTTTTGAAATAGGCCTACTTAATCTTAAATTACAACACAGGTATATTCAAAAGTTAGAAGAAAAAAACGGCAGTGCATAGTAATGACCCATGTTCTACCTCTGTGGGGAAATACATCCTGACAATATCTGATTGATTACCTCATTTTATTTAGCTGATGATTAATTATAATATATCCAATCTGTTAAGCTTCAATACATTCTGTGAATCGGATATTAGCGCCAACTAAAGGGATGAAAACAAAACAAAAAATATTCGGGGACGTTGGACCTGTATAGCCCGAGTCTCTCACCATATTCCCGGGGAGAGCATAGCAACACCGCGGTCCCATCACTATACATGGTGAGAACAAGGCGTGTGCCCGTCGGCAGTGAATAAATGTGCTGCGATGGGAATGTTTCACAAGCAGCTTTATAAAGTGTAATTTCTGCACGTGATACATTCCTGCACTTCCATTCAAACGGTACTACTATCGTTCGTTCGTTCATTCTTACCCATTTTCCGCTGTGTAATTTGCTATGTTGGAGAACACACGTCCATCCTCGATCGCTCTACAAAAGATTATTTACTCCAAATTTCGAGCTCGAATCGAACCGATTCAATTGGAGGCAGAATCGCTACAGTCAGTTTCCACCATCCCGACCGGCTGGGTTAGGCCCTTAAACAAATCTAAAAATAGCTTTAGGAAAAACCACAGCAAAGCCCGGGGACTACGGCAGGCATCCCGAATTCCCGATCGCTTTTTATGTAGCGAAGACACCTCGGTTATGTCATTGATTTCCTATCACTTGACTTCTTCACTTCTGAACATCTCCCTTCTGAACATCTCACTCCTGAGCATCTCGATAGGATAGATAGATTATAGATAGATAGATAGATAGATAGATAGATAGATAGATAGATAGATAGATAGATAGATAGATAGATAGATAGATAGATAGATAGATAGATAGATAGATAGATAGATAGATAGATAGATAGATAGATAGATAGATAGATAAAGCAAAGTTCAGTCCCTAAAAAAATATATTTTTGCATTCCATGGGGAAAATCATACTGGTCTGAATTTTTCTGGTCTAATGACAGAATTTTGACTTTTTTCATGAATTCTTCAACACATCTGGTCTTGCTGATGTAAAAGGTTTGGGACTGGATTAAGCAGTAGTAGTTGAGTCATTTTGAGGGAGCCAGAACTATGTTTAAATGTGAACACCACGAGTCCAAAGGTTCTGGCTCCGTTTTTTGGGACTGAGAGATTTTGGGAATCTTACCACTGGCATGTTTGTTTTGAGCTGTTAACGGCTGTTTACAACTGAGACAACTGTTAAAGGGATAGTTCGCCCAAAAATGAAAATTCTGTCATCATTTACTCACCTTCAAATTGTTCCAAACCTGTATGAGTTTCTTTCTTCTGTTGAACATTTTTCATTTTGGGATGAACTATCTCTTTAAGTGCTGGGAACTTAAAGGGACATTTCATTTTGTCATAACTTAGTCATCAGCATGTTTTTACAAACCTGTATAACTTTATAATGTCTGAGGGACACAAAATAAGAAAAAAGAACATTTGAAGAATGTTGGTAACCAAATAATTGTGGTTACCATTGACGTTGTATGAACAAAAACACAGGTATTTATCAAAACATCTTCTTTTATGCTCCACTAAAGAAAGTCATACATGGTTGTGAGGTTGAGAAAATGACAACTGAATTTTCATTTTTTGGGTGAACTATCCTTTTAAGGTATACAATCTGTGGTTTACTATGTCTGTATACTATATCTTTGTGTATATTGTGTCTGCTGCTGGTGCACTGCAATTTCTATTGTGGCTCGATCAACAACAGTTCTCCCAACATCTGCATTGATTAGCACAGGCCTCTTTGCCAAAACTAGCTTCACATCTCTACTGCAATGACAGACAAGCCCTTTGCGACAATCTAGAGGGGCACCCACCTTACAGATCTGGAAGTGCTCGGACATCAGCGTTTCCTGGATCTCCAGTTCGCGCGGTGTTGGTGCCGCACTGGGGGTCCCAGCCGCACTGCCGCACGCGGGAGATCCGCCTGGATTCACAGGCGATGAAGTGGTCAACCCGTCCAAAACCTTCCGGAACTTCTTCATCTTTATCCTTGTGTTTACACTTCACCGTTTCTCTTGGAAAATCACAAAACGTGCCGTCGAGACGCTTAAAACGGCATAGGAGATGATGCAGCTTCAGGCGAATTCAGACTCCTCGTTTCTTCTTCCTTTCAGGATTTTATGTGCACAAAAAGTCGCAGAAGAATCTCATTTTCCAAAGCAAGGCTGATGATCACAAATAAAGTAGATGAATTGGGGGGAAAGGCGAAGAGAGGTTCAGTGCGCATTAAAGCCTGAACCAGGCTGGAGAACAACCAAGAAACTTCATGGCACTTACGCAGGACGGTAGCCTATCGCATCCAACTAGCCAACATTCTCAGAAGCCATGCCAGAAACATATCAAAGTACAATTGACTTTGGTGAATGTATTATTATTATTATTATCGAGACTCAATAGCGGTACACACCAAAACTCACGCTGAGCGTTTGTGGTTTGGGATCCCAGGCGCAGAGGAGACACGCTGCAGAGAAGCAGCGTATAGCGACGAGCCAACGTCGAAAATGGATCACAAACTGCCGGGAAAAGAAAGAAAATTCACGGCCTGACAGATTTTCTGTGAAATCCCCTTCTCTATTTCTTTCTTTTGAGTTATTTGGGAGGAGAGGAGGCGAGTACCCTCGACCCGAACCCTGAATATCTCCCGCAGTCGAGTGCGAGCTGCTGTCCAAGGTGCTGAATGATTGAGCGAAAGAAAGCCACACCCCTCTATGTTCTAATTGGACCATGTGCCACGGCCCTACTGTAATCCCCGCCTTTAGGCAGCAGCGATTGGACCATGTGCTTCAGAAACCACAAACAATGAAATAGTTATTTAATTAATTGCACAATTTTTATTAAACTTAATATTACTTTTAATGCACCAAACTAAGCTACAAAAGTTTTGAAATTCAAATGTACCGTCATTTTTCATGCCAATAAAACACATTCAATTTAACTGAATTTCAGAATTAAAAAATGTCCATAACATTATATTGGCCTCGAATTGGGCATCGGCATATCACAACGTCCAGCAGTTAATTTAATTGTTTATTTTATTGTTACACGACTAGTCTAAAAACAACTGAAAAACATTAATATTCGCTAAAAAATACAGTATTGTACAAACAATTGAAAAATGAAATGTTAGACCAAACTAAGGGAGACACCTCAAAAGCGGAGTATGGTTGCATTATTGTTCTCTGGTTATGGCCACACACTATCCATCCTGTTCATAATTCCTTTGAGAGGCAGCGGTGGCCTCGAGGGGGCGCTGTGATGTGCATCTCGCAGATGCAGATTACATAAGCGCTTACATCATCTCTCCCATCGGCACGGTTTATTCCATTGAGGTCTTTTCCCCTGAAATCTGCTCATGTTGGAGATACCTGCTCCAGAGATTTTGATGCTCATGATGCTCCTGTGAATTTTATTCGGAATCTTATGATTAGATATATTAGAAAAGAAAAGAACAAATAGAACAAAAGAAGCTATGATAGATCCAAACCTTATTTTTATATGTGCTTCATTTGTTGAGTGTGTTATATAGACTGAATCTGAATAGACTATAAATATATTCCATAGAACATGATATACTGAAGATTAAGACCAGCAGTCAACAGCTTTGCATAGACGGCAGGCAATAGTGACGCCAAAATGCAAGACAAAATTTTGTTTGTTGTCCTGTTTGGTTAAAAGCAAAATATATACAAATTATTTTTCATTTATAATTATTTAAAATATGTCTTTATTGTATATATATTCTGTTCTTTTGGATATTACGTAGTGTTCAAGTGTAGCTAGCTAGAAGGAAGCTAGTCACACCAAATATTGATTTATTTAGTGAAAAGAAGTTAAATTATAAATATATATATATATTTGTATTTAAAAAAATGCAGCATTTGTTCAAAAGTGCCTTAAAAATTTACTGTGTGCACACACACACACACACACACATTATATAATCTATTTGTAGGTGCCTTAAATATCATATTGTGTACTAAAGTGATTTCAATGTATTTCAAGTGCCTCAAAACCACTGACAGTCTTTTTTTCCCGCTCATCTCACCATAGCTCAACAAGGAACGACAAGACTAAAGAGGGGATTTCGCAATTATCGTGATTATAGGGTACAAATGTTATGCTTTCTAGCATTTTATCTTGACATTTTCAGTTATCTATTGCTTTGACTGTTTATAGGTTATAAAATTATAGATCGGGCTCAAGCTCCCCCAATTAACAGGCTAGAAGCTCAGTAGGCTGCCACATGTAATTGCTTTTTAAAACCTCTTCATTAAATACACTTTTCATCATGAATACCTCTTTATTGGCACATACCCCAGACAAGATTTTCTATGATTGTCTAAACTAAAGGATGGAATCAGAGTCTGAACTTAAATGGTGAGAGAAACAAATAATATATTTGTAGCCAAAACATTTATGGTCATTCTTCTAAATCTAATTCTAAATCCTTCTGGTTTCTCGTGCTAATGCAGCTTGTCGCTTGACAAACATCCCCACATGGACAGTTTATCTAAGTTATATTATTATGTGGCCTATCGCGAATGAGGCAAGCATGGTAGTGTTGCTAAAAGAACTCAGTAGGGGCCTTCTCCCTCTGCTGCTTGGTGGATGTATTACAGAGGAAATCCCTTTGTTGAGAGGATTTGGGAGTGAGAAAAAAGCTAAATAATCCTCTCCATCACTCCCTCAGGGTAAACAGCATCCAAGATAACGCAGCTGCCAAGACAACGGCACGGGGTGTGTGCTGCACTATGGGGCCGCTGCGTTAATCTTCCTGCTGAAACCTGCAGACACGGATTAGGGAACATGAACACGTCAGGTATCCCATAGTGCAATGCAGCTGGGGAGTTTTGACTTGGCATTACACTGATTCAAATATGATGTGGGAGAACATTAGTGAATAAAGAGAGGGATAATTTATTCACAAATTCAAAAGTATGAAATAAAACTAAAGCAGGGAAGGGTAAAGACTGCAATCTGCTTGAATAAATGTTATAGATTTGATCCCAGGTAAAAGTGACATATGGGAAACTGAGATACTTGTCATAGCCGTGCCCTTGAGAAAGGCACTTTACGCCATATGCCTCCAGGGTGGACTGTACATAAAATTGTTGTATTGTAAGCTGTTCTAGATAAAACATTCATGCAAAATGTTTATTGCAAATCAGTGTTTAGACTTTACTGAGCACCTAATTCAAAATGCATCAGTCTCTATTATGTGTCTGACAGTCCCATCAGCGCCAAAACCTTTTGGTTAACCCTTGGCAAAACCCTCAGGCAGATTATTTTCTATGTAGCTACACACACACCATTAAAGCTCTTATTTACTTGACTGTGGAAAGACTATCGACTAAAACGTAATTTTGAGCGTTACATTTTCTCCTATTCATATTTATACAAATGTCCTGTCTCTTATGTCTCATATAAAGGGTTAGTTCACCCAGAAATGAGAATTCTGTCATCATTTACTTCCCCTCATGTCTTACCAAACCCGTAAAACTTTCGTTCATTTTCGGAACACAAATGAAGATTTTTTAATGAAATCTGAGCAATTTCTGTCCCTATAGACAGCTATCCAAGTGACAATTTGGCGCTTCAAAAAGTTCATAAAGAGATTGTAAAACTGCACTGTAAAAAAATGTACATGTAAATTAACGGTAAAATACTGGCAGCAGGGTTTCCAGCTGTGTACCGTAATTTTACAATTTCATTACCGTAATCTAAATTACAGCTTTTCTATAATTTAACAGTAAAATACTGGCAGCAGGGTTTCCAGCTTTGTACCGTAATCCTGCAGTTTTATTACTGTATTCTAAGATACATATTCTTTATTACCTTTAATATCTATACTTGTACAAATAAGCTGGTATTGTAATATTTCATTTAGAATACTTTCCCAAGGGGACAAAAAACAGCTCAAGAGGGTATTTCTTATAGCACACAATTTATTGAGTTTAGTGACAAATAATCTGAATGCTTAGACAAACAAAGCAAATCATAACAACTGAACCACGTCCAATAGAATAATCAGTCTTTTTGTGTTTACATAAAAACAGCCTTTAAGAAATAGTGAATTTGCAAATTTATTTTAGTTTAATAAAAGTCAAAACCTGTATTTGGTACAGGAACAGGCCAAGAATGTGTTTGGGGTGTCCATTCCCCTAACAGCCTTTATGAAATAGTAAATGGTGTGAACATTTTTGAAGTTAATTTTAGTTTAATAACAGTCAGTCAATCGAAGTCAAAACCTGGCAAATATTTGGAACAGGAACAGGCCAGGAATATGCCGGAATCTTCAAAGTGATGCAGGTGTAGTCTGAAAGATTAAAAAAAAAATGGGGGGGAAAAAACTTTAAATAAACTTGTATGTTGTTTGCTTGTAAATAAAGTGTCAAAAGAACATGACAAAAAGCAACATAATGCTACACTACAAAAATAATGACTAAGAAGAATTTAGATTAACTTGAAGGAGAGAGTAAATGGGGAAACATTTTGAGCTTGAAGAAGAGGCGACAGGCTTTTTTAATAAGCAGCAGCATGGTACAATGATGCCCGTCACAAAAAAAAGGGCTTTACTGACTTAACTCTGGGTTGTTGTTCTTTCTAAACCCTATTTTAACTCAGTTAAACTTAAGAATCCACAATATCATAGCGTTTGGGTCATAAGCAGCATTCAAAAATCAATGGAAATGACACCACAAATATGCAAATAAACCCTATATTATGAGCAATGCTGAACATTAATCAAGATAACCTAGGATGCTGTTTATCTGGGGTTTAGAAATGACCCATGGTTAAATGGCTAGTTTACCCAGAAAATGGAAACTGTAATTACTCATCCTCATGAAGTTCCAAACTCGTAACACTTTTGTTTATCTTCGGAAAACAAATGAAGATCTTTTAATGAAATCTGACAACTTTCTGTCACTCCACGGACAGCCTTCGCAGCACTGTCAAGCATCAGAAAGGTAGTAAAGGCATCATTAAAATACTCCATGTGACTCCCGGGTTTAACCTCAATTTTATGAAGCGAAAAAGCCCACACAAAGTATGTTTAACACGCATGCGTCAGGGCGCAAGTGTTATTTTTTTCCCTGCACACAAAAAGGACTTGCGTTTCTTCATCAAACTGAAGTTAAACCGCTGGAGTCTCCTGGATTACTTTAAAGACCTTAACCCCCGGTTTCACAGACAAGCCTTAAGTTAGTCCCAGACTAAAATGCATGTTTGAGCTGTTTTCACTGAAAGAAACTTGCACTGAAATTTCTTAAAATATTTCAGAGCCTTTTGTTTCGACTCAAGATGCACACCAGTAAATGTTTTTTATCTATGGCATGTTTATAAAAGCTACTTAAATACCCTAATTGAACTAAGGCCTAATCCTGACTTAATCTAAGCCCTGTCTGTGAAACCGGCCATAAAAGTAGTAGTTTTGTAGGCTGTGTAGACAGAAAGATTTCATTAAAAAGATCTTCATTTAAGTTCTGAAGATGAACAAGTCTTATGGGTTTGGAAAGACACACACTTTAGTAATACATTGTAAAGCACATCTGAAATTAAAATGAAAAGAGCTTTCAGTAGTGTAGTGTATTGTAAACTGTTCTACAAAAAAAGCTGGTATACTGTAATAACTTTAATGGGAAGCAGCTACATAAATTAGTGTGTACGTGCAAATTTACTTACCTAGA